GCAAGCGCTGGGGCTGGGCAAGTGGCCCGCAGATGCCAAGCTTTCCTTTGTGTACCACTATGGTACGCAAAGGCGGTGGCTGGACTTTATGCCCCATGATGACCAGCCATACAAACTCATTTTCAGCGCAGATGAGGGAACTGAGGACAGGGGGACACACATGCAGCAGCGTCAACAGTCACCAGCCATCACCTTCTTAGCTCCAAATTTCTGGAGTGAGTCTAGAGTCTAGACTAGAGGGCAGCAATTTGCAGTAAGGTTTGAACTACAAGAGTGTGTCAGTGATGTTTTCGCTTGGGTGTGCCCTGCCCCTGAGGGGTTCATTGGATATTTGCACTTGGCACACTGTGGGATATGGTGCAACTTCTGGCCAGATATGCTCCATAAACTGGCCAGGAAGGCGTCCATGTCGCTGGTTTCCAGTGGAGCGGATGATGTTGTGAAGAAGCTGAGACGGGTGTTCCAGCTGAGCAGAGGTCCATGGAGTACATCGAAATTCGGAAAGGAGTTGGAGGTTGCCCGTATGCAAATCCTCCGAAGTTTGAAGGAAGGCACCATGGACCACCTGGAGTTGCTCGCGACCAGCAATGTGACCCCTCAAGCTTCGGCCCTTCTGAGTTGATCAGATTGCTTGAGAAGAAGTCAGGACCGTGGATGAGCAAGGTGTTTAGTATTTTAATGTTTTCTTTTGAAATGTTGCCAGCCGCCCGCAATAAATGGCCCAGAGTTTGGTGGGTTTACAATCCTTTGAGGAAGCCTGCACGTCCGCTCAGACGACCACAATGATTCGCGATGGTTTTCTTTCTTTGACCACTCGGTGAGCTGGGACAAAGTCTGGCATGTTGAGGCGCTGGTCCACGAGTTCCTTTGGTTCTCACAAGGCAAGTCCCCGTGGCATCTGAAGCACCAGGAAAAGAAGAAGGAGGAGGATGACCAGGCGGCGTCAGACTTCAGTAGTCGCAAGCAAGCCTTCAACGCCACATGGCTGAAAGGGAGCATTGCTGAAGTAGTCTTCAAGTAGAACATGAGGTGTAGTTCTTAGGAAGAGCTGGTAACTAGAGACAAATTAATGACAGCTAGACATCTACTATTCTATATGTTTTATATAGAATATATATATATATACACATGGAGAGCAAGGTGGCCCAATTGTTTTGTAGCTAAGGGTACTAAGGCTACAGTGCAACTCTTACTTGTCTACTTGTCCTTTGGAGGCCCCTTGTTGGAATTGGAAACAGGAACGTCTTTCGATGGATGCCGACCTTTGCTCCTGACTCAAGAACTGTCTGTTGAAGAATGGAGGTGTGCACATGCTGCCTGTGCAGTGCAAACAGGGGACAAAAAACACGGTGTGGGAACGTGATGCTTTGGTTTGACATTGGGTGAGTGTTGAATTGTTGACCTAGGTGCTGGTTGATGACACGTGTCAGGATCTAATGAGAAGCATCATCCTTTGCTTTCGACACATGAGAGGCTTTGCGAGTCAGTATGACGCTCTTCTGCAAGAAACGAGAATGATACATCAACCAACTTTCCCATGACAAGTGTCCTTGGACTAAGTATCCCACCTTTAATTCTTGGGCTCCCTTGATCACAAATCTACAAAATGCTGGCGTGCAAACATCAGCTCGACCATCCTTGCAAACACTCACAAACCTAACCTGCAACCGTTTTGCACCCTCACTGACAACTTACTGTCAGTCAACCTTGTGAATCATGGGGACTCTACGTGGGGGACTTGGTATGCCATGCGTCTCTTTCCTAACAAAGTGTTAAACATCTCAGCCCAACATGCGTTGTGGTGTCAATCAATACATACCATGCTAAAGAGTGCAAAACAAAGTGTCCTTTAAACCAAGTGTCGTTGTGGCACGCTACTGTCATCTTGAATTAAGTATTGAATGTATCATTGTTCCTTTTTATTATACTTCTGGACGGCGCCAATGATTCCAGTTAAAACATGTTTTACAAGTGCTCCTGAGTGGATGAATGTCTGTCTAAGTACAGTGAGTCTTCATGGGGCTTGCTGTGCATCTTGGTCAGGACAAGGACATTCAGCGGGATGCGACAGGCAGTGTGAAGCATGCCATCAGCCTTGCGTCAGGCAAAAGAGTGCGAAAGCTGATCCAGACTCGATCTTAATTGCCTTACTTATTATCCGTTACCTTGCTTGTGGCGAATGACAGGTTCGAGCACGCTTTTAGTGTTGCTTTCTGAGGAAGACCATTTTGGAATGCGTGGAGCAAACAGCGTTGGAATACATCAACGCTGTTGGGGATGGGCCAGAGAATCAGGAAGTCATGACCTTCCATGCCAACCTTCTTCTCTTCCAGATCTCAGCTCTAAGTGAGGTCCAGTCCTACCACCGTGCGTTCCCTTGGCGTTTGGTGGAATGCTTGGATCCAGCATCCTGGGCAACTGTACTTCCTGCAATGAAGGATCTCTGGTACTTCGTCATTAACATGGCCGATTGCTTGAAACCAAATGACAAGCTCTACTGGATAGTCCAGGTGACTCGCTTCCAGCCCTTCAGAGATGTCATGATCGCTGGCGAGTTGCTTGACCCAGTGCTTCTTATGCTCATTTCCCCTGGATGTTACACTGCCAAGTGTCAGTATAGGGAGGTAGTTGTTTGTCATTAGCTGGTTCATCCCTCCTCCTTTTGCAGCACTATATAGTTTGTTTGAGGTTCATAGACTTTGACGTGCAGCGGATGGGTTCGCCTGCCAGCCGCCCCTTGCAAGAGAACATCCTTGCAATCTGCGGGCTTCAAGAGGCTGGTGCGCCCACTAGCCTTTTGAGCTCGTTGCCTTCAGAGCTTGCTTTCAACAAGCTAAGAGATGCAGCCAAAAGGCACAGCAAACAAGAGAGGTGTCAGCCCGCAGCGCTGCACTCTGTGGCTTGGAAAGCCAGTGTGAGCCATGTGTGCGGATGTGAATCCCTCGAGCTCACAGAGGAGGACTGGGCCGTCCCCATGAAAGCGTCCCAGATCAAGGTGTCGGTGCATTCCAATATGAGATCGTCTTGCTCTGACATGGGGATTTCAGTGGAAGGCCTCACGAGGCACAAGCAGGCCAACCAGTACACCAAACCTCATATTTGGACTGCTCGCTTGGAATACCTGGAGGTGCTGTCAAACGCCTTCAAAGCCGCAGAGGGCACGATTGAGGACAAGCGAGTGGCAGTGACAAAGATGCACCAACTTTCGTGGCTGTGCAAAGTCTTGCCTTGCATGTGGTTCCTCAAGCCCAAGACAGAGGAAGCGGACATTCCTCACGAGTCGTTGATCATTGTCAAAGCTGGACCATTCACCGCCCGATGTGTGAAGCTCTCTACACTTGGCGACAACTGGTACCGGCTTCAAAGCAGCGATCCTTTGCATGAAGTGATTGTGACTGACCTCGACCAGGTGACATTGGCTCAGGCCACGCCTGACATCCATGCAGGAGCTCTGGCGTGGGCCAAGACAGGTCCATGGCTCTCGATTGTGGACTTCGTTTGTGACCATGGCATTGAGAATGTTGGAGCTCAACTGCTAATTTCCCTTTGTGCGCTGCTCAAAATCCCTGGCCACAGCAAACTTGATCACAAGCACCGAGTGGAGCTCTTTCTGAAGACTTGCGGTCGATCAGAGGAGTACGTGGCGCGAGTCCTTGAGAACTTGCCGGAGCCAAGGAAAAGAACAGCAAAGGAGTCAGAGGTGCCAAAGTGTTTTCAATTGCCAATTTGTTTCAAACTATATATTTTGAACTTTTTGTGGATTGTCAGATCCCTTGAACTCGACTTGTGCATCTTCCTTTTGTTCTTGGCAGGTGGAAGAGATGGACGCAGATGACAACATGCAGGGTGAATCAGATGACGAGGCCATTTCTGTGATGAAGGCTTTTTTGGACGAGGACCTTGGCAACAGTGGTGCAGCTGATGAGAATCCAAAGACAGCCGGTGATGTCTCTACGCCAGAGGCAACCGCTGATGTCCCTATGCCTGAGGCAAAGGATGATGCGTCGGTGAAGGCCGCCGGGTTCAGATGGGTATATATATTATATTATATTATATATACATATCATCTTATGTATAGGGACCTCATGGCAAATCCTAATAAATAGTCCCCACAAAGACAAGAGTTCCACATCAGATGAACAACACCATTAGTTTTCTGGCAGTGCAACTGATGGTCATTCCTTCTGTTTGTTTTCATGGCACGCATCTTCTCTTTGGATGAGGTAGAATTAACCTGTTCTTGTGTGCCCAGGAGCAGAGAGCAGATGTGGGCATGCCTCACGCACATGGAGTGGCGAGGGAGCGTCCAAGCGGAGAGTTTCCTCCAGGGGTAGTGTGCTATCGAAAGGAACCGCAAAATGCCAATCCTCTGTTGCAAGCCTGGCTTCCAGGCAACTTCAAGCATGAAAACAAACGCAGCAAAGCTGTGTCTTTTTTGAATGATGGTGGTGTGACATTAGTTCGGGGCACAACTAGAACCTACGCCCAAGCTGAAAGGATTTGCTTGAGCTGGGCATGGAGTTGGTGGGACACACTAAGTGTGGAACAAAAGTCCGCCATACAAACCTCAAGTTCAGAGCCTCCTTCCAAAAAGCGGAAGGTTAACTAGAAAGGATGAAACCTGAGACTCCTGGGGGTGCAGGAAAAGGTGCGTGTGTGAAGTTGTGGGAGCCATTGCTCTTTTAATGGAAATCATGAAAAGTAGGGACAGCTATACAGAATGCGGGAAGTAGCACTAGAAGTGTAAGTGTCGAAGTGTCAGTGTTCAGAAGTGTAAGTGTCGAAGTGTCAGTGTTCAAAGGATTTTCCGGAAGAACCCTTCGCAATGCTTTCGGGAAAAAAACACAATATTATAATAGTATATAATAGTTATATATAACTATATACATATATCATCATCGGTCCAAGGCCTTCTGTTCAGCGCTGTAAGGGGCCATGTTTGTTTCTTTTGGGGGGCCATGTACGAAATCGATGCCTTCGATCCGATCGGTCCAAGTGGCCGTGACACAGAGACCCGTGACTCAGGGGGCGCATGGTAGGAAGGGTGGTCAATGTAGTGCTCTTCCACAGAGCTGGTCGACCCCATGGCGAGCCGCTCCGCTCGGGCGCCCCCCTATGTCGGTGACATCATCTTGGGAGAACCAACGAACATGATGTGTTTAGATGTGTTTAGATGTCATTTACTGATTTTGTGCTGCTTGTGAATCTTGTGAATTGTTGTTTGTCTTGTTCCACGTGTGTCCCATTGCATTAGCATAGATGCTAATGGACCATCTTGCTCGTCACAACCATGTGACAAAGAGTCATGTTTTTGTCCAGGCCGTGTAGCTCCTGTCTGACCTGTGAAGCTGGAACCTGCATGAACGGTCAATGGTCATTACGTTACCAATTCACAGTACTTACACCCAATCAAGACACATTCAATGAGTCAAGCAAATTGTACAGGTCACTCATCTATGCCTAAAAGGACGTATGATGATGTATGATGTGTTCCTGAGGAATCTGAAGAAAAAGCACTCTCTCTTCAACGTGGGACATTCTTTGGATTGGTCGCTGAAGAGAGCATGGTTGGTTGCGGCGCAAGATGGTTTATTGATTTATTGATGACTTCCGTCGATGAATGGTAACATACTCTGCTACCAAAGCACTGAAAATATATCAAACCACATAAAACCATGAGCAGGAGAACCCTCAACAGGCGCACATCCCTTCAGGTGAGAGGATTTGCCTTTTCCAGTGAATGTGCAAGGAGCTGTAATGTCATTTCAATCCACATCAACAACCGGGCTAAGCTACACGGCACAGCGGAATCCCTGCAGAAGCGTGGTCTCGTCGCCGAGACCGAAGGCGCGAAGCCGATGGAGATCGATCCCCACGGTGCGGTTCCCCGTGACCCGTTGCACCTGCTCTGGACCCTGCAGATCGCAGGATCCGGGTGACATGCACTCGCCAACCTGGGTGGATGGAAGCGCACGAGAAGCCATTTTTTCCTGACCGAAAGCCATCATACCCACCCCAAAAAGCACGTCGTCATGCCGTCCCTCGTTTCGTGACACAACCTGGCTTTTGCGCCCACTTTCTGCCGCTTTCTTCATGAAATGTTCAACAAAAGCCCAAAGGCATGCGTTCTTGTTGCTCCATCTCCAGATTGTGGAAGACCAAACAAATCACTCCCATCTGGAACAGAGTCTTAGAGTCTAAGACTGCAAACCATCCACCCGTCTTCCCCCGTCTTCCACCTCGCTACCTCGCCCCTACCTCGCCCCGTTCGCCAGCCGAACCCAAGTGGCGCTTGATGCACTCGGTCACGGAGCTGGAGTGCTCCTCGTCCCGTATCGCGGCGCCTCGGCGGGAGGGGTTGCCCAACGCCTCTGGATCGAAAGGATTCAACGCTGCTGTCCAAGTTCAAACGGTAGATCTATATTACATATAATATATATATATATATCAGCGCCGATTTGGGGTAGATCGTTCAGTGGTGGATGGGAATCCAGGCGTTAACAGTCCAAGTAGGTTCATAGTACATAAGGCCTAAGAAGATGTGACCAGGAAGTCTCCTCTCTGCGAAGTCGGGGAAGAAGTCGACCGAACTGGCAAACGTGCTTTTGTCGATGTGTGAAATGGATGAAATCGAACAGGATTTCTGGTGGATGTCGTGTGAGTTTGTTAAAGCATGGGCGCAATGGGCCAGATTTGTTTTACATTGTGTTCCTCTACCTGTCATGCCCAAATTGATTGATCACTCGACCCAGATGTCAATTGGAGCTATTGAAGACAAATGATCTTCCATTGAGTGTTTTGGTCTGCTGTGAGGAAAGAAAATGGTTCAGGGTCAAATTCGAACACCAGAAACAATAGTACATAGATACAACAAATTCTTATATATGAAGCGTACCGTATTCTGTTTATCGCTGGGATGTTGCTTGAAACATCACCCGGTTTCACCGGCGCATCGAGCTTCAATCTTAATCCGTAGATGCACAATACACTCCCAGACACGACCCATGGGACTGCCATATATGCCGATCAGTTGGGGTGGTTGACTGGGGGGGTCAATGGGGCGGCATATATTCCATACATGGAGTGTCTGGGACTGACCATTTACTGTAACACACCCCCTTTCCAAAGGCGTCTTTCCATGAGGATGCCCTCTATTTCATCTGACTCGACCGGCTCGTAGATCATCAAAAGTCCCTGCGTCAATCACAGGCTCGCAGTCCCAAGAACAGCATGACACATGCTCTTGTCAAGCAACCTTGACTAGAAAAAAGATGAAACAAGAACAGTATGGCTTCAATGGCTCGGCTACTCCGCATAGTAGTAGATAGCGGCAAACTTGTTCCGATCAGGTTTAAATAGGCAACATGTGCCTGCTGGCCGCCCTTAGGCCCAGCGCTTCAACACTTGAGAAAGCATGTTCAAACGAAAGCTCTGCTGCCTGATATTCCAGAGCCACAGCCACAGTTTTTGGAGTCGCTAGTGCAGGCTGGCACGAAGGGGTCTAGCATCATAAATGTCTAAAATTCATCCACTGTGCAGTCTTTGCCACGAAACAAATAAGAACTGTCCACCTTTCGGCTAAGCTGCATTCAAAGGCCCTCATGTAGACCCGATATGCCTCGAGACTCGCGCCGAAATACCAGACGCTTCTCGGTCAAAGTGGCTTAAAGATGGGGATGCACAAGCGAAACGGTTCATTTGATGTCATTGGTCCTTTTTCAAAACACGCAATCAGGTGAGTTCGTCGCGGCTCTTTGAGCCACCATATCCTTCTGCCATATCATCCATGAGTCTATGGAAAGTTCTCCCAAGTGACTTCCCACTGGGATTCATTCCTGGGTCACAACTGAAATGTGGCTGGTGGTCGAACAACATGGCCGACTCAAGATTCTTCAGCCAGACAAGATTTCGCACCATGTCCCATAAACCCCCAGAGTCAGAGAAACATGACCCAAGAACACTACTCACCAACCTCTAGAAATGGGACATACTCACCGTTTTGTGTTTTCATGTGTTTTCCCACCCTTGTAGCCTGTCTAGAAACGAGCTCACTCCCATTCCCCTCACTCCCCAGATCTTTGATGAACTCCCAATCTTCCAGATCTTCATCCGTGCGCTGCCTCGATGGTCCTCATCAAATAATCATAGTCGCGGCAGAACCAGACCGCTTTCTCCACAAAGCCCCTGGGAGCGCGACAAACACGGGTATGTAGTTGAATAGAGAGAGAGACACCCTGTCTGACGCTTTGTATCTCTCTGGCAGGATTGGCACAACCTCTTGGCGTTGAACAAAAGGAAGAATGCCTTAATCCCATTTCAACCGTTAAAAGCTTCTTTTCCTGGCCCAATTTTGGGCGTGAAAAGGACCAGTGAGCGAAGCTGTAGCCAGAACATGAAGTTCCACCATTAAGTAAGTTCAAGAGGTTGAACTCCACCAAAAAGCCCACAACCTGGGACACTATTGTGATCTATGGTACGGTACATTGAACTTGTGAAACTGCTCATTTCCATAAGGGAGATTCTCATTACTGTATCGTATCTCTTTAAAAATCTTTAACATGTTACAGTCAGCTATCGGCAAACACTTCTCGCACTTCTCGCACCCACCAAGATGTGAAACAAACCCGAGCCAGATTCCAAAAAACACCATGTCTCTGAACCCTCACAAATTCCTCCATGCATGACCCAAAAAATAAAACATCAAGCCACTCCCGACACTGGACATCAGCTTTCTCCAAAGCATCGAGCCTTTCGACATCTACATCTCCTCTCTCCCCTTTTCAGTGCCTGCAGGGGTCTGAACAAAGATTGTCTCGCATCTCCTCAGCTCGCAGCGTCTGTTGAAGACGCAAACGGAAACGGAACTCGTGCAGGTTGCGGAGTGCAGCGTTGCAGGTCGTCTGGTCTTCTGGTCTGTTTGACATGATCCCAACCTGCAAAGAGGCCACACATGGCCATTCACATCGCAAGTCGCCACCCACCCACACAGACACACCACACACAGATATATATATATACATATAGCCATTGCGATTGGGCCAAAAAGACCAGTTCATTGCAATGAGGCTTATCGACGGGGGATGGACCCAAATGTCTCGAATTGTTTCTCGTGTCGATGGACTCGGATGGACAAACAGGCTGAGCGGCTCCAAATCCAGGGAGGTGGGTTCACTGCGTTCGGGTGGAGCTACTGCGCCGCTATGGTTGGAGTGTTTTGGGGGACTTGGATGGTGCTAGTGTCTTTCAACACCAACAAAAGGGGAACGCCATCCGAAAGAACACTTTCAACAAACTTTCAGAAGGGGATGACCTTCAACACTACCAAAAAGAGGAATGAACAATGATTGGTCTCTCAATTCATGCCTCTCGCATGTATTTGTTCCATCCAAGGCTCCATCATGTTGCCAGTGCCCGGATTCGGGCATTGCCTCAAACGACCGGCGGGTATTGCATTGAATGTTCTTCCCTCAGTGTAATGCTGCATATAGATCTTCCTGTTGGAGAAGCTGTATCTCTTTTGAGATAACTAGTTATAACAACTTCATACAAGGTCCTTCATGGGCTCTCTTGAATGGCCACTAGCAAAAGCTCCCGCGGCCAGGACCTGTGAGGAATCCAAGGCATTGGCGCATTGACGCATCCAACCAATCACCGAGGTCCCGAGACATGAGACGAGCGACACCGTCTCCCGAGCCTTCTCCAGTTTCGTCTCGAGTTCCGTCGTTGGGGAACTCGAAGTCCACAAAAGGCCCGATGATTACAAGAGGTCAAGTCCACGGATTCAAGTCTTTTTCCTGTTAGAATTTGCATGAAGATTCCGTGAAGATCCCTTTTGAAAGGTACTGGGTGATCCTCCCTCACAACCAGCCTATGTTCCTTCAGTGAAAGCTCTTCAGCCCAACGGCCGTGCTGGAATTGAGAACCCGACTGAGTCCTCAAGCATTTGGAAGTCATTGCTTGCTATGCTTTCAAGGGCCATGATGTCAACGATGCACCGTGTCCCCAAATACGTAATCAGGCACCTTACAAAGTGCCCCAAGACATCCTTGTCAAAGCAATTGAGTGTCCAATGTTCTTACCCCGCTCAATTCACTCTGCATCGTCACCATATCTAATTGGAGTCATTCAACCAGTTCCTCTTAGGGGTTGTTTGGGGAGGTAGAAATTCGGTAGATCTAGCGATACGAGATATAGCGACGCCCCTCTACGCCACCGCCCAGCGGCCGATCGATGGCGGAGACCTGCTCTTGACATTGGATCACCGTCGCCTCGGACCGAGGTCCAGCTGCGGCGGTTCCGGAAGGGGGGTTCGGACCGAGGTCGACCGAGGGTCCGTGGTTTGGAAACAAAACAGAAAGAGTTCAGTTTACTAGCGATGGCCGACCTAAGAGCCATGGCCAACCTAAGAGCCAAAAGAATCCACAAATGAAAAGAAGACCTTTATGATTGTCACATGTGGTTCATTGACATGCACTCACAGTTAGAGCGGACTTCCCACACCCCCTTTTCAAAAGCAATTGATGAGATCCAAAAAAAGTGTGTTTGGAGGTCACGTAAACAGCTCGAATCTTGAAGATCTTTAAAAGGGTGACGTCCTGTCCTCACAACTCCACTTTGCACCGGCAAAGACGGAACCCCAAAACACGCCAACTGGGGCGGATCTTAAATTTTCTCAGCCGGTGTTCTCACTCCAAAAGCAGGAAATGGGTGCCTGAAACGATATTCCTTGTTGAAATCAACAGCCTTAGGCCTTGGTCATTGATGACTGGCGCCAATTCATTGCAGTTGCGCGGCCTCCAAAAACAGCGCTGCCCGTGGGAGAGTCCCTCTTTTGGTGGGTTTCGAACAATCAGAACAAATATCTCCCACAGAGACTTCCGCAGAGACTTCCTGAAGACTTGATGGGGTCCACATCGCTTGGACACTTTAAAAATAAGTGTCCTACGTCACGTGACGTTATCTGTATATAATATACATTATATATCAGTATTAGATATGTTGGATGAGGATGGAAATTGAATCTGCAGTTCCGAACATTAAATCTTCCCAAATCTATTCTAAGAAGACTACAAAAACGGTGAAGGGTATCCCACAATTGGGTTCTGCATCCTCAAGACATGATCTTGGTATGGCTAGACGCCATGGCCTCGTGCGGGGCCCGGCATCTGAATGAAGTGCACTTGGAGCTCAGCAGCAGGTCAAAAACAGGTCGACGGCACCAGGGCGTTAGCCCATTCTATTTATATATTATGCTTAGAGCACATTGATTGTAGAAACGAATGCATGATCAGTAGCTGTAGTCTTGCTGTTTCCTGCTAGGATGTCAGGTGCTGCATTGTAATTATGCAGAAGATTCACCTTCATTGGTTAAAGCGGTAGAGTGAGGACTTGAACATGTCATTACGCACTCCTTACCCCCGGATCTGAGATCGGTCATGCGGGAATCCGGCACCAGCCGACCTCATCGGAATCTCGTCCGGCTCGGTAAGACGAGGAACGCAATGATCCGAATCCATCTTCTCAGTATTCGTATTGCACAGGAACAAATCATTCACCAAATCTGGATCCTCAGCCAGGATTTGAGGAAGTTTACTTCCCTGGCAGTGGTCATGCTCCCGTTAGCCACGTTGACATTATCCCAGTTGGCCTAGTTGGCCAAAATACTATCACATTGTTGCTGAAGGATGGGCCCACATGGTTTTCCACGCTTCACTGGGAAGCAGGAGGCCACACTTGTCGACAGATCCACGAACCACGGACCATGTCCAAAGGAATGTAAGAAAGTACCGAGCTGAGTGAATCCTCAGGGCGCTTCCAGGGGATTAGCAGATCATGAGGTCTCCCAATGCAGAATGGATTTGAGGATTGTGCCTTAAGGATTAACCCACTAGATATACTTGTTACCCGATGGTTGGGAGACCTCGTCTTTAGAACCAGTCTGACTTTCACAGTGGGGTCACCTCCGCTGTCAAGAAAGGGGTCCGCCCACGTTTCCGCTAGACTCTACAGGCTAGGTCCATACCTCTGAGACAGGTAATTAACGCCTGAGACGACCCTGGAGAGTGGCCTTAAGGGGTTCAGCAATGGTGCCAATGTGGGTGTCACTCAACCATGGGGACCGCAACTGACTATGACCTAGTTGCTTCTGGTTAAAAACTGCCGTCCCCTTCTCTGGTCATGTGTCGAAACATCAACAACAAACAACCCTAGGAGCAATGAGCAATGGAACCTTTTGTTTCAGAAGTCGATCACCTGTCGCTCTGTACCTCCAAAAGCCATGATCCAACATGAACCAAAGTCCTCATCATCTCCGGGCACCGACCTTCCAATGGGGTGCGCCCAGCATCGCGTCGCTCGACATCCACGGTGTCAGTCTCCCAGCTGGGGCAATACCTGCAGTTGCACGGTGGCACCTGGTGAGTGCACCCGGTGAGTCGCACGGTGGTTGCATTCCCACATGGAGGACAAGGGTCATGAGTCTGAAGGGAAGCCATGGAAAGATCCGATGTGGACTGGGAGAGGTCTGCGTTGGTTTTTGCTTGGGGACTGGGCTGAACAAAGCACAGAGTTTGGAGTTGACCACCAGATATATCGTGCGTCTTTTGACGATGGATCTATCATTGGTGCGTCTTTTGATGGATCCAAACATGCAAATGTTTGAGGAAGTTTGGGCGGTCAACATGTTTTCTGCCATGCATGGGCATGCTGGTCAGAAACATTCACCCTCTCTATCATGAGGACGATTCTGGATTCCATGAACGAGGAACCGAAGCCACCTACTACCGCCCAAACATGTGACCCACCTGGTCCCGGTTCGGGCCGAACCAAAGGAGCCACCAACACGGTACGGTCGCTGGTGGCTCCTCGCTGGGAGATTCTGAGCGCAGGGAATCCGAGAATTACCCGAGCGAGGCAAAAAGACCCTTTCTATAATATCTTTGTAGCAAACACCTGAGACTACAAAGAGACTATAGAAAGGACCGCTGGCTTTAGAATGGTCTCTCCTGAGAATGGATTCTGTACCCGTACCCAAATATCTTTTTTGGACATGGACCGCTGGCTGGACAGCCAGTGATATATCGACCCCGGTGACCCGCGGGCGTAGAATCCGCCGGCCCCATCGTAGAATCCAGTGACTTTTCCTGATAGAACTTCACCGGGGCCATAATACTTCGTGCCCGATGGAAGTGGCCACATTTTGCCTGCCGGGCCCGAGGATATGGGCCAAGGTCACATGGGTGATGGGGTTGCTGGTCGAACGAGTGAAGAACAGAATCATTGCAAAGACTCACATAGCACTCGCTGTCACAGGCACTTCATCTGCCAAACCTCAGTAGCTTGCCTTAGTGTGCTTCACAACAAATAAGTAACATATTCAACAAACACCTAGAACTTGGGCCTAGAACAAAACTATTCTATCTGTTGTGTTTGACACAAAAAATAACTTTTCAATTTATTATACATGGACAACGTATAAGTGTCTTCCCAAAACAAGTCATTCAAAGAAGTTATGCTCATATACATGTTTAGACTACATGTTCATATGTCTGTTTGGATGCTGGTACAATTGTCACAAACATGGTAGAACATGGTAGAACATTGACATGAAGCCCTGAAGTCGACTCTATAGACTGGACATATATCTGCAAACCAATTGGTACCTAGGGCTCAGGTTTCTTGAGTCATGCATTTCATGAAGTTCAGTTTGCTTTGTGGATAGGGACAATCAGGGGCTGTGTCTCTTGCAGCCAGGGCCAGCCGTGAGTGGGACGTGGTGCAAGCCGAGCCTGAAGTTGATCATTGGATTCCTTGCAGGCTGAGCCCCAGCAGACCTTGGTGTTCTTCGCGAGAACTCGGTGGCAATAAGAACCCTAGCCAGGGACATGTTGCCTGGTTTTCCATAGGATTGACAGCCAGCCACTGAGTATGTACTTGATCATGCATTCACAATTCTCAAACAGTGAGTTTGAATACACGCTTCAGGGCCCGTCCGGGACAAAGAAAACACGATAGTGGCCGGACACGCCGAAGGGTTGGGCTTCGTGAGGATGGACATACATAACATACCCTGCGTGATCGTGGCAAGGAGCAGCGAAGGCTTTAAGTACTGGCCAAACTGCCAATTGATTTCATCATGACACCATCCCATGTAAAAGCTCAACTCTCACACAAGGTATTGAAAGGTTACATTATGTTACATTCATAGTTTGAACCATGGGAGTCATCAGGAACTAACTGGGAATCCTTTGAATCATGGGGTTCATCATTGGGAAACAATTCGGCTTCGGAGGTGCCACCCTGGTCATTCCATGGTCCTCACCGTCCCGCTCCGCCCGCCCCAGTCCGACCGTGTCCGATTGCATAAGGGGCATAGGAGGCCACTTCAGTGACCGTCAGTGTGGGGAGCCAAATCCTCAGTGACCCGGTTCGATCCGTGCCATTCCGAGCGAAGGCGAAGAGCGGTGGCATCAAAGCTGCTACGACATCTTTATGGAAAAGCGATTGAAAAGGTCCGCAAAAAACAAGAAACACCCCAGAAATGCTGCATATCATCTTCGGTCCTTTTGTGTTCAGGAACACAAGGACATGGGTGCGACCAATTCCCGATCTTCACCCAGTTTCCACAGCTCAGGCGAGGAAGGGTTGGCCGGTACCACAGGCTTCAAGGGAAGAATGAGTGCTGTTGATCTGCATTTCGAAGCTGGTGGCGAGCTTGTCACGAGGGGACAACGAATCCAGCAAGGTGCCTGAACATTTAATTCCCAAGTGTAACCAACATGGGTTACCCAGTTACCTCAGCTTAGACATGCCTATATATATAGAGAGAGAGAGAGAGACTCTTCCTGACACAGTAACCTCTGCGTCTTCCCGAGAGCACCGGGACTACATATCCTTTTAGCTGCAACGTGCAAAGGCTTAATTGCTTGTGCAGGCTGTGTTCAATTGGGTAGGGCTCAAGAGTAGGCTACCAGCTACTGGGTCCTTCTGTGAGCCAGAACCTATTGATGCGTTGTCCGAAACAACAAAGAAGACCTGAGCAAATTCTTGAACGTCTCTGATGCGGTGGAGCACTCTATTTTGCCGCAGCACAAGAATGTCAAGGAGGTTGTACAGAACCCCAGAAGGGACGGAGTTGTGAAGGCAGTAAACTCCTGTCCCAGGCTATGAATTTGTGAATCTTTACTCATAAGTTCAGAATCAGAAAGTCTAGACAACAACAAAACGACAAAAATGATGTGTATATATGTGAGTTTGTCTCAAGAAACTCAAGCATGAGAATCTCTCAAGAAAGAGAATCTCCACAAATGATACGGGTTCACACCCAGCGTTCCCCGTTTTGACCAGTCAAACACACGAGGCATTGAGACCAGCGAAGACAGGCTGCATGGGTCGTGCGTTGGACGTTGTGTTCTTTTCAGGCACATCCACTTCCCTATGTTGCCTTCAGAATCAGCCCAGGGACACATCACAGTCAAGGGTGGCTTTTTCCATCAGCTGGAAGCACATGATGGCATCATTGCAAGCCTACGCATGAGCAGAAAAGGCAAACAAGAACATATATTGTATAACTATACTATATAGATCTATATAGTATATAGTTGCAAACGCAAGCTTCAGGTCTGCTTGCATATGATGTGCACCTGATTGCTTCTACCAGTCTCCAAGGAAGCTTTACAATAACTGACATAGCATCACGCTTCATAGTTAATACAACTACGTACATGTGCATGCGTCTCAGTATACATACCAAACAACTCGTACATGTGCATGCGTCTCGGTATACACTGCCAAACAACTCACTTGTGGCGCAAGGAAAAAGAAGGCACACCCCAATGTGCCAGGGGCGCTATAGATTGCCGACACTAGAGAAAGAACAACAAGTAAAACCAATCCTAATTACAGATCTTTCAACACTCACCATGGCCAATTCGATCATGATGACGAAAACTCTCCCCAATCATAATCTTTTGCACAACAACCCATTGGACCGCAAACAACCCCCGCAAAAACGGCGCCCACCAACAAACCAAAAAATATAAGCTGTTTCTCCCAGAATTTAAGGGAAAACCTATAGAAACTCATAAGTTTGGAGGTGAAAACAAGGGTTTCCTCTAGATGTTCTCTTAAACCCATTCATTGACTCCTCCAAGCACCATCATCCAAATCTGCAGCTCCTTCCCCACCTCGTTGGTCCTTTCAGACTCCGAGGAGGTGATTTCGCAGTGCTCGTAGACCGCCGTGAGGAAGCCCGACTCTTTGGAGGCCCAGAACGTGCCTCGGCGGGTCGAGATCACACCCGACCGGCGACGAAGGGCGCCCGTGACCGAGGGTTTGGTATGGAGGTTTTGGTACCTGAGGGGACGGGGCAGTCGGTTTTCTAGAGAGAGAATGCACATCATTATTAGATTAGTCATTTAGAGAGAGAATGCAAATCATTAGACGGTTTTCTTGAATATATTAGTCATTATTAGTCTGTTGGCACATCAAATATTCAGTATCTCTGTCTCTCTCTCTCTCTCTACCTGAAGGGTGGCAGTTTCTTCCTTGGGTGTAAATGAACCTCAGCTGGTCAGCTGGTCCATTCGCCGCGTCCGCTAGTGTTCGAACAGCCCCGATCGAGCACTGTTTCGACTCCCAATGGCCCAACCACTGGGGGACGCTGTTTTTCATGCTTTGAGCAGCCCAGCCCATACGCTGCTGCTTGCCAAACAGAGAGACCATGCGAAAGCCAAAACAGAGAGATACAGTAGCCAAACAGACGTCATCTGCCTATCTGAACACTATTCCCAACACATCCCAACCATCCAAAAGGATTACAGAACATAGCAAAACCATCTTCAAGTCTGCTCCGCGATGCAAAAAATCAGGACGCCAACCCCAACGACATCAACGCAATAAAGGCTTGTCTTCCTCTTTGGATGAGAATCCATTCATCCCGTCAGCGCGCATGACACGCAAAAAGACTCAGAATTACCAACCAGGCCCTCCCGAGGCCACGAAGGCTGTTGATTTGCTGCAGTGGCATCCGGCAAGACCCAACCACCAACGATTGGTCGCAGAAATTAGTGCTCTTTGAAATCCAAAAACTGAAGTTTGATATTGGACAAACACTCAGAAACCTATCCCGCATGCAGATAGCGAATATCCTGAGAAGGACATGTCCGAAAGTAGGAACCCTGCTGCGGTAGCTTTGAATTTGAGCAGGATGGGTAGAAGTCCAATCCGTGTAAGTGAATAGCCTCATGAAGTTGCTTTGTGAAATCGTAGAACCCACCTCCTCAGACTGCTACCTCAAAAGATAGTCAAACCCCACCTTCCACCCAGCCCAGTCGCACCGAAACCACCCAGCTTCACGCCCTTCTGACGGATCACGCCCTTCTGACGTGACCTGTGACCGGTCACTGCTTCTTGGTTTGATCTAGGGAATCCGATGCCATACACCTGCGCTCCGAATCCAAAGAAGAAGTGGATTGGCCCCGAGAAATACCCCGAAAAACGCCTGCAATCTTCTTGGAAAACCAAGTCGGTTCCACTTCCAAAATGAATCATACTGTGGTTCCCAGTCGATACCCCCCAACTCATCCGCTCCAATGTCCTCGCTTGCCGCCCAGCTGACTGGCATCCGCGGACGGCTGCAACAACTCCTGACGGCAGCGGAGTCTGCAAAAATGGCTCCCAAGCTCCGTCACAGCCCAGCTCCGGGTATCAAAGGCTCCTTACTACTAGGAGCAATGTTCGCTACGAGGGATCCTGGCATCGCTACCTATAGGAGTGATCGGAGGCTACGAACGTGGCTGCTGGCCTTACGCAAAAGCTCGACAGGTCAGGTCAGCTGGTCCGACCGTTCTGCTGGGTTGACCACCGAAAATGAGAATAGACCACTGGAAAAATCTACCTACCACGGTTCAGGGCAAAGGTGTTGCGAACGGGGTTTTGGCTCACAGCCATATATAGTATGTGTAATTGCATGTATTATATGTGTCTTTTTTTGTTGTCTGACAATTACAGTGCGTACATACAACTACAAGACATGTTTTGTTTGCATGTTCTTGATTGGGAGGACATCCAACTGGATTACTGAGGGCCAAAAGTTGAAAACACACTTCTAGACATAGCAGCACGTGTATTCATCACAATACCGACCTATGTGTCTTAGTCTTAGTTAATAAAGCACGACACACTTGGCTGTGGGTAAAAACAGTGGGAACCCCAAAATGATGCCTGAACATGAACAGAATAGATTACTAGGGAGGTCAACTTCAACTAACCAGAGCTCAGGAGTCCGATTTGACTCATGTCAATGATCCCGTCGAATCGTCATCTTCCGAAAGTAAACACGAGCCCACTTTTGCAATCAATCAATCGCCCTGCATTCACAAAGCGGTGGGAATGTCTCAGAGAGGGCATCACAAGCAAAGGCTGTTCTACTTTCACTATGAAACAACAAGATTGTTGCAGAGTTTCTCAGTCTGAGACAACTAATCTGAGTAGCTTGAACCCGTCTGTTCATGAGAAAGCAGCATCAAGTCAGGTCTGGTGTGACAATAACTGCCAGTATGCTTTCTATAATTCTGCCTCAAAGCTTGAAGTTCTGGCGTTGCTTCTGTTAGGAGCTGTGTACACTGTGTGCGCAAATGTGGTAGACAAGTCAGGTAAAGAAACAACAAACATCTGGCCTAGCACCAATAACGAGTCTCACTTGCCGCAAGGTCAATCTTGGCAAGGAAGGCTTATAGATAGCACATCTGTCTTTCTCCCAGTGCTCCAAACACGAGTGACACGCGTATCTCCAGTTGAAAGGTTGATCATCCCAAACCAAAACTTCTGGCTATCTAGTATTCTAGAAAACACCTGAGGGTCGTCAAAATCCAACAGAAACCAGCCATCTTGGAACCCAACTCCTCCCGCCTCCTCAGATTGGTTCAAACCTCCCAACAGCGGCAGCTCTGCACCTGCAGGCGCGCGCCGACGGAACCGTTGAACTGCGGGACGCCACCGGTCTGAGACCAGTATTGATCTGGTGGTGGGCTGGGTGTGGACGTCCATAGCGGCTAAACTCAATTAGATGGGAGATGGCTGTGGTTAGCTCTATGCGGTGACAAATGTGTCGATGTGTCCGTTAGGTTGTCTTCCCCTCCCCCACTCAGTAACATGAACATTGAAGTTCTGAAGGTGAACAAAAGCATGCAGAAGTATTGATCTCATCACTTCCGAATCCTGAACCGGGGGGATATCACATCTGATATGTTTTTGCTTCGACCGCAGCTGGCTGCTCGGATCGTTCGCCCTTCGCCCCCTTCCCACCTGCGTCGCATCCAAAGTGACGCCTCAAGTGGCGCGGTACGCCACCGGGTGCCGTACGCTACGGCCGGAGGCTACACGGTCCGGTGTGAGATGATCTCCCAAAAGGTCCATGGGGCTGGCATCTTTTGGGACCCATGGACCCCCAACCACCCCAATGTGAGCATTGGGAGTGCCTGTGTCTGTCTGCCACTATAGATGTTACTACATCCCAACGGACATGTTCTACACTGACACCCACAGAAGGATGTGCCTTCTGTACACTGAAACCCATCCCCTGGCGCGAAGCCGGCGGTGTGGCTCTGGCGCTTCGCTTTGGACCGGTGGATTCCGACGGAATGGTCGAGAGACCGAGGTCGAACCAGAGAACTGTTGGCCACGACGGATGTGCACCCAGACTTTCTGCACATCCGAATGCACTCTGACTCACGAGACTACGAGGTGAAGGATGAGACGACTGGTCTTATAAGATCCGAGTTCAGCCGCCAAGCCATCCGCAGCGGAGCGACTGATATGCGACGATGCCATCGGTGCTCTCCAACACGGTGCGGTAGGCACCACACACCGTCCGGACCTCGTCGGGTGGAGCAGTCGGGGTCTCGGATCTCGTTTGGGGCACTCGCCGCAAAGTCAAAATGACAGAAGCCGCTCCAACCTAAGAGCGATGGCCTTCAACCTAATTGTAATGGCCTCCAACCTTATAGCACGGTCTCCAACATCTCACAGAAGCTGGCTGCCTTGGTGATGAGATGTTTTCAAGACTTGCAGGTCACACCTCTGCAGCACGGCTGCAAGAAACAGAGGGCTTCAACCCTGATCACTCGGACGATACACGTTGTATCCTACGGGTCTTCGGAGGTCTTCAGTCTTCACTTCGGGTGCCATGAATCATCTTTCGCAGCTTCGTTCCTTAGGTCCCCCAACTCAACATAAATCCCCCAGTTCAACCAACCCAAACCTTCTTGCTTCGGCCTTTCGATGAGGCAAAGAGATGGAACATACGGAGAGAAGCACCCCTCGAGTTAGGAGGGCCATGTTTTCTGAAAAGCATGCTTGTGAATATCCCTCGTGAACTCCCTCGTGATTATGATTGTCATGCCCCACACAGTTTCTTTCTCGCCGCAAAAAAACACCACAAAACCGTGATCAATATGGATAAAACCGCAGGCCAAAGGCCTTATCGACAAGCGCCAGGCAGGTAGGGCTGCATACCTGGCAGTGCTTCCAATTGTATTGACAGACTCACGTTTACTTCCCCATTTCGACCAGCAAGCAAGAACAGAATCATTCTTTTATGGCCTTTTCGATCTGTTCGTCGACCGACACTGAGAGCCAAGGAGAACAAACACCCGACATCTCGGCAGGTTAAACCCCTGTGTGAAGAAACTCGCGCTGCGGGCTGGTGTAAGCCTGTAATACAACTCACAAATACTCATGGATTGAAATCTCCTACCCAATTGAGGCCAAGTTCCACTCCAAATGGTCAAACAAAACACCTACCAGGACCCTCCAAGGGGTGTCTATAAATAGCCTCTTGGACCTTGGAAGTTAAGGGGTGCCCAAAAATCCCCCATTGGAAGGTCCTGTAGTTATGGAATCACCAGTTTGCTGCTGTGCCTCATCCCGGGTCAGCGCCATGGTGGGGATGTCCATCGGGCAGTCGCGTTCCTCACAATTGTCGTCTTTCGCATGCCGGAAAAGGAACATCTGGTTTTTGTTTGAGGTGCTGCGTTGGTGATGTATATGTTGTGTATATTGCTTGTGCATACATACCTTTTTGAAGTGTGTGTGTGTGTTGCCCAGCTGGTTTGTACGACGCTAGAGTCCATCTCTCTCATTTTTATGTACGTATGTGGCACACAGATCGGTAGCGCGTCTGCCTGCTTGTCACCTTTCACGACATCTCCAATCGCACTCCAAGGGGTTGCGCACAGATCGGCTGTTCCCAGAGTGGTGTTTCGTGGGTCCCACCTTCATGAACACACTCTGAAAGCCTCACCTGGACGGTTGCAAACCAGATCTTTGGCTAGAGTGAGCACGGTGGTATTCTTCTCTAGCCGCAGCCACAATGCTTAAAGGTGGCTTTGGTCTGTCCCCCAAAAGAAAGAACCTTGGGAGTGTTCCCGGTTCTTCATGTGGCTAGATAAGCACGTCTATAACTTGAATGTGAGGAAGCACAAAAGACTAAAGGCTATGTCTATGTCCCTTATCATAATTTAAGCTCTTGGGACCAAGGGTAGCACCATGGTTCATCCTAAAGGAAGGACTTGCCCTACATTCTCGGATGGCTCAGGACAACCTCCATCATCTTCCAAGGAGAGACCATAAGGGAAAGGCTACCGCGAAGTGTCGCCTGACCCACTCTGAGTCAAGCTTCTATCTGTGAGATGATATCATAGCATTGAGTCACCTCAGCTGTCACCCCGGATCACAGCCGATCCAAGCGAACCTGTGGGGTCCAGCTGTGTCATTGAAAGAAGCTCAGCTGTCCAAGTCGCTACACAGAAGATTGCCATGTTGGTATATAGAAGGTTGAAACAGAATGGCTCCTTCATCAGCAATCATGTATTTATAAACAGCAGCTTCAGAGTAACATGGAGTATATAGCGTTTATAGATGGTCAAAACCCCAAAAGGTGGCTTGCAGAGATTGCGTGTTTTCATCGGCAGCCCGGTGGCAAAGGGGTCCCATATGCTCCCATCGTCACCTACTTAGATCTGCTCTAAACAAAGAAACTATAGCCCATTCAGTACTGCAATGGATTCCATCTTGAACCTTCCCAAGAAGGACTTCAAGACTCCAAGAGTCCGAATATCCCGCTCCAAATGCACAGCTTGCAACGGAAGTCTTGGCGCACCAGCGAAGTTAAGGTCAACATCCGCTCGAACAGTTACAAGCCGTGGAAATGATCGTGTGAACAGGATTGGTCTTCCAGTTTAACAAGTTCAAATGCACAAGATTATGCAAAGGAATGAAAAGGCCCCACATGACTTCTGAAATAACTGGTGGACCCCAAAACATACCATCCAGCTAACGAGTGCTGTCCATTCATGCAGGTGGGTTACCGCATGAATTCAACAATTCTGCTTCAGTGAAGCACCTTACGGGCATTCCGATCAACAATAACAACGTCACCATCAACAGCATCAACATCAACATCAACAACAACAACAACAACAACAACAACAACAACAACAACCACAACAACAACAACCACAATCACAACCAACACCAACAATAACATTGTCATCAACATCAACAACACCCACCACAGGTCTTTCCTACATCAATCACCGCACTGGTCCTTCCAGGGCCCCTTGCCACTTCGCAGAATTTGGAGTCCAAGCCCTCCACGGGCCGCGTCCGGCGTCGGCCGGTTGGGGGGCTTTGAGGAGCTGTTTCACCCAAGCTTCAAGAAGCACTCCACGTCCCAGACACCATGCATGACGTATTTACCTACATTTAGCTACTAGGAACAAGTGCCACGCTAGTAGTAACAAGTGCCTTACTAGTAGTAACAAGAAGCTACTAGGAACAAGTGCCACGCTAGTAGTAACAAGTGCCTTACTAGTAGTAACAAGAAGCTACTAGGAACAAGTGCTCTACCTAGCGCCTTTCTGCGACGTGGAGACCAAGCAACCCCCTCTCAACCTGATCGGCAGTCCTATGGCAGTCCTATGGCAGTCCCGTCTGGGTGTGGACCACCCAATGAAGGCTTCGCTTTGACACAGCAGCGGATACTCCGATAGCATGTGTGTTTCACCGATAGCATAGAGTTCTTGCATTGACCCTGCGAGGCCCTGAGCGAAGAGGTTCAGAGCAGAAAAGGGAGGTTCAGAAATGACCAAAGGACTCACATCTTGGTAATTGGCGTGCCTAGCACCTGTAAAGAATAATCAAAGTTTGAGCTCACCAAAGCTATCCCGAATCTTGCAGATGAACCCGTTTGCTTTAAAATATGTTTTGAACCATCGTAGAGTCGAAGATCCGAAAGCTGAACACCCGGAAAATGAGTGTCACTGGTACCTCAAGGGATCTCAAGGGTATGGTGTGGCATGAACTATATACAAGTCCTCAACCTGAAAAAAGTGACGTGTAGTTGCATATCTTTTGACCAACCACACTGCCACACTGAATGCTGTTTTCATCAACTCTGCTGTTACAATCAAATCCCACCAGTGGATCGCCCATGTCGCAATCTATGGACCTTCTCAGGGTGTTTCTTGTGGTTCACACAGTTCTTCGTGCCTTGAAGGACAGTGCACAGGTGGAGTGATCGTTGATGATATCCTCAAGTGCAGAAAGTGGACCAACTTCTTTGTGCCGACACACTCGGTACCAGCGGCCGACACCTTGTTGGACACCATTGAGCATGCAAAGGTGTTGAAAGTGCCCTGTATCTGACAACTGGTCAAGGGATGTCAGGGGCTTACCTCTATGACAGCAGCCACAGCTACGGGCAGTGTACAGGCGTAGAACCAATCATAAGAACCAATGGACTGTATTAAGGATATTGTCAAGGCCAATGTTCTGCCGTTGACATGCAAAACGTCCCCATCCGCTTCAAACATGAGAACGTCACATCCTCTCCAGCTCTTCCCAACGAATGCAGGATGATCTACGTACGTGCTGCCTTGGGCCGGCAACCGGAACGAAAATAGATGAAAATAGGTACCACCAGAGCATCACGTTAGTCATGTTTCTTGTGTTCGGTGAGCTCGTCATATTCTGCTACTGGTTAAGCCAGACTTCCCAAAGCTGGTCTGCAGAAAAGCTCAAGCTTCCTGTGAAGGTGGATTTGCTCCTTTGCCAGTAAATTACGGCATCCGGTGAACCCAAAAAACGGTACTTTAGGACACTTTTCCTATCTTTTCCTGAATCAGGTTACATACATGAATTCCAATGCCCATTCCCACTTGACTCAACTTTGCAGAACACTCAAAATCGGGCCGTCTTGAGAATGGCTCCCATGAAAGAGAACCATCCAACCTACCACTCTGCCTCAAACGCGAGATCACATACATTCCAACAAGGCTGGAGGGCCAAATCAGAAACACCGCTGCACTTCACAAAGAGAGGCTGTCAAAGTGCAAAATCCTGTAGCACAAAATTAAATCACGGTTGTGTTTGCTGCTTCATTTATCTCCTTGATTTCCCAAGCGTCAGTTGGTTGATGACCATCCCCACAATAGCCTCAGTGGGGGCAAAGCTGTGGTGGCTTCAGGTGCTTTCGCTTCATGATACATATCACCAGATTCACCATGTGGCGTTTCTCCAAATCAAGGCTGCCCAAATTGGACATCACCCTGAGACCTACTGTAACCCACCCACAAATCAGCCAAAAACCTGCGTCGGATTGGAAGATTGAGGCTCAAAAAAAAATGGTGAAAACACCACAGAAAATGTTCAATGTGCGGCAGTGGAATGTATACCAGGACCATCGTGTCTGGGTGTTCAACGGAGATCTCCAAGCAGTGCGGGGTAGTCCATTGGAAACCCAGAAAGGATGGTCCTGGGAGAGGGTATTCAACGAGAATTCATGGTTCAACTGCTTCGCAACGTTGGCAAAATAGGCCAACTGCAGCTCTTTGACCTCTTCCGAGGTCACAGGCCACGGTCCTCATCAAGATAGACAGCTGGATCTGAAGTGGAGGAGAACCAAAACGGATAAATGATATGAAATGATATGAAAATGATATGAAATGAATGATATGAAATGAATGCTGATGCTTCCCACTACTTGGGTGCTTTGAGATACGGATGATGGACCTTCATGATTTCCGAGATGCCATCAGAACCCTCGGTCACATCCGGGCACATCCCGGGCAGATCCCATATGGAACCCCCAGCCCCATCCCAGCCCAGCAGCGTTGCCGATAGTGCAGGGCGGGCGCCAGCCATTCTGCGGACGGACGGAGCATGGATTCTCTGAGGATAGGTAGTTCAACGGTTGGAAGATCTGTCTGCGTAGCGTTGTCGTGAATTGGAAGGGACTGCGAGGTGGAGTCCTTCCAACGTCGGAGCAACCCAAAAGGGGTTCATCTTGAAAGCACGGCGCGGACACTTCTTCTGATATTGAACCAGACCGGAAGGTACACTCCGATCCACTAACATGGAATTAAGTGAAAACTACCCTATTTGTACAGGGTCCAACAGTCTATTTTCCACTTCCATGTTAGTGAGTCGGAGGGTCTACCTCCAAAGAACTTCATGGCGGATTCACCTACCCTGACATTCCCAATTCCCGCTTGACTGGCGACCATCTGACCGTGTGAGAGTCCCTCCGCCCGCCCGAGGCCCGCACGGACGTCAGAGGGGTAGCGCTGCATACAGGTCTTGGCGGCGGCCCTGGAGCCGAGTTTGGTGTTGAAATAAAGGAGGAGCTGAAACACGTTTTGAGCCCGCCACAATAGTTTGTGGTTGTCCCGAGCCCAAGCTGATTGTGATGGGGCCGCTACACAATAGATCAAAACATATATATAGTATGATTTAATGATATATGTCTGGACTGTTATTGGGTGGAAATCCCGAGTATGCCTAAGCTGTATGGAATGTTCTGCAAAGTGCAGCTACTTTGTTAGGATGAGACACCTTCTTGGCTTTCTAGAATGTCTTTAGTTTTGTACTGTTCATCTATTATGTCATCATTCGTTGATGCTCACAAACACACACCGCAGTGTAATCCAAGATAGTTTTGGTGGCCAACCCTCCCGCACATCCAAATCAATTATGACCTCTGGGAAAATTCTATGATCAACCATGCATGCTTAATGTGTTTTGGCGACGAGGTCAACAGTTGGATGGGGGACGAGGTCGCGTTCGCTGGTTCGCTGCCGGACGCGTGGGACGAGGCGTCGCTCGCTTTCTCTGCCAATCGACATCCCAGAAGTCGCGCAGGTGTTGATGCCGCAAATGTACCTGATCGTGGAGATTTGGCCAATCTTGGAACACCCCAAAACTACTTGATCTTGGAGTACAAAAAAGTATCATAAAGTCAGTCCAATAAATACCCCTAGTGGTGTGTTCCAATGTTGGAACAGCACCTGACCTTGCTAACTTAGGTCTTGGACTAGGTCTTGGAAAAAAAGAACCATTCCTGGTGTTGAAAGGACGCGAGCTCGTGATCGATGATCTCTGATCCCTTGAACAGCGCTCAGAGTACTGGGCTTGCTCAGGATCTTCCTCCTTCAACCGGAAAAGTTCACGCGGTGGGTTCACGCGGTGCCTTCGGAGAATGTCATCTTCAGATTTCCAATTAATTAGGGGGATGTCTCTAATTGCCCACGCCCCGGTCCTTCAGCAGTTACAGAGTGTTGCCCAGAAAACTATGGTTCCCCTGCTCCCTGCCTCACCACTGGTGATAAGCTTAATGTAAAATGAGACAAGCTTGTTGCAGACCGCCAGGGCATGGAGGACAGGTTCGCAAACAAAGAGACAGCAAACAAACTGCCACTCTGGTCGAGATGTCTAGGGAGCCTAGTTGGCTTTTCTCAAAATTGGGGGCATGTCCAAAACTGGCTGGGCAAACAAATCACAACCAACCTCATCCTGCTTCGACACTGCACAAAACCTCCAGCCCTGAAAGAAGCAACCATCACTCGGGAGAGGTATCCAAAATGCTGAGCTATACTAGTTACAGTAGAAACTGCATATCTTCTAACCTCCGCCACCACACCCAAGAACGAGAATTCTGAATTTTCAGAAACCCGGGGTACTTCTTCAACTCGCCGATGGACATCGTGCTCACCAGCATCACCTCATTGATCCATAGAATCGCAGGCAGGGCGGGGTAGTGCTTTGTGCGATCCCTTTATGTCTATGTTGCCAACTCGGTGCGATCCGTGCCATCTCGAGCACCGATGAGATCATCTCTATCCGATGGACTTCAGGCCCTGGAAACCAAGGTTTCGCACTGCGGCCGCCCGTATCGACCCCGGTACGTACGGCGACTTGTCCGATGGTGGATCCACTGCAAGCTGGGAGAAGGGGGCCGAAAACCCATGCCTTTCGTGGTTTGGTGGCTACAACCAGTGTCATGGGCTCTAGTTCCCTACTAGGCCCTAGGCCTGACAGTCTGGTAGACCTAGGAATAAGGTTTCTTGTGCTTCGGTAGGGGGAATGGATCACAAAAAATAGCCCTCCAGTGACAGTCTGGCACGTCCACCGTAGACACTGCGTTCTCCTTCAGTGTTAGCTCGCGTATTGCACTCTTGGCCGAGCGGCTCGGCATGCACTATGAGCTTTTTCGATCACGTCAAAGCAGGTCTTGGCCAGTTCGCAGTCCTTGGGCTGCCAGGCGGGCATTGAAGGGTCGTCTCGCAAAATGCCCACCAAAGAAATCTGGCTGACTCCAACGAAGTCACGTCCTCGATGTCTGTTGGCTGATTTGCGGAGTCGCTTGATCGAGTGGATGGAGGGCATCTCATCAGTTTCTTTCGCTTGAGTCACCCTGCAGACAAAAAGCCGGGTTGGATATGCGCCTGTATCCAATTGCAGTCTTCTGCAGCTCTTATGGGCTATAGGTTGGTTTCAGGTGGAAGCATTATGGAGTCACATGTGCTCCTTTGAGTCACTTCTCCCCAGAACGGCTCCACATATGGCTGTGGGTCAAAACCGGACCCCTAATCTCTGGTACAGTATGTTGACCTCCATCGTAGTCTAATTGTTAATTCTGTTCATTTTCGGTGGGAAAAGCCAGAATCCCCCGGTGCCATGACCCGTAGCCATCTGTCACACCCCTTAGAATTCGCCGAACGGGTAAGGCACCACCGACGGGTCGTTGGCGTTGTTGTCACATCGGTCCACGTCCCAGACCTCGCGAGGCTAAGGTCGGTGGCTCTGGAAAAGGCCTGGGGGAAGTGAATCTACATGGAGGGTCTGTATTTTCATGTATGTCACTAGGGACCACCCCTGGCTGGGTAGACTCGATGGGAACCGAACAGAACCCACGGGGTCGCCTGGGAGGTCTCCCTAATAAGAATACACACCCTGATGTTCATCTCTAATGGGTGTATTTGGATGCATTTGGTCGCTGTTCTGCTTGAAATTCTCACATGCCACCAGCGAGGTGATTTGACCCCAAAAAAGATCGAACACTCGAGGCGGGAAATCCGAAGCGCAACTGCTGCGCCGGAGAGATGGTGCACACACTTTGATACACACCATACCAAGCACGTCAGCAAGTTCACATGTTCCATCAGCCAAGAAGCAACTAAGGACTTCGAGAGGTTCGCAGCGCCAACTGGCATGTGGCGTTGAAGAAGGAATCGTACATGCTATCAAGGGTGGTAGGGTGAATTCTAACTGCAACAATGTTGAAGAAGAATGCACCTTGTCCTTCAGCATTTCGGTCTGATATTGCCACGTGTTCCCAATTCATTAATGATGAGTCACCCAAGAAGAAACCCTTGGTCGACTAACACACCCAAGCAAGCAGATTGATAAGTATCTCAATCCCGCTCAATCAACAGCAATCATTTTGATAGTGCCTTTCTTGTCCACTGGCAATCGATTGCCCGTATTCGTACAGAATACTAGCAACAGTATTGCTGTATGGTATCCCTTGTCGTTGGTGTCCACGGGATTGGATTCACATGCCATCCTGTTCTGGTCGGTGTCTACAGCCAACTCGGCTGGATTTCCCTATGGCCCTATTGCAACCACTATGATCAGCACTCAAGACTCCTGCATTTGTGGGGATGCACTGCTGTTCAGCGGGTCGTCTCTGAATGTCCCCGTTTCAATCCGCTTCAATTTTCTTACCAACACACCTAGATTCCGGCAAACATGGAGTCTGACACCCAAAAGTCTAACAGCCGATTCACCACACTCGTCACCGCCTCCCCCACCTGTCGGCTGCAGGTCCGCGGCGGCACTTGTAAGCTGATCCAAGTTCTGGGCACTTGATGCCTGCCGGATGCGCAACACGCGTCCGACCCGGACGCGTCCGACACGCTCAACGGATGCGGTTGAAGAACTGCGTAGAAGTGAAACCGTACTACCGAGACACCGCCAGGTGCTTTTACATTCGAACGCAATTTCACAGCTAGCATCAGCTAGCCCCCATATCCCCGCCAGGCCGTTCCAATACGGATTTGGAAAATCATCGTGCGCTGTCCAGCCTGCCCCATCGGGTCCCCACCGAGCTACCGCAACGGTCGAACAATAACGCCTTCCGCGTCACCGAAAAGCGCAAAAAAAGAGATATCTTTAAAAAAACACGGGACCGAAACCACTGAATTCAGTTTACAAAGGGATGGCCTCTAATAGCGAAGGCCTACATCCTAATGCTCTTTGCTTGTACCACCGAAAAAGAAGAAACGGCGACCAACAAAAAGACCGGGACCGTCACGGACGTCAATCAACGCATCCCAGGCGCCGCGTAGTAAAAAACGGCGGACTGCGTCTCACCGGCTTTCAGACCCTTCAGCGGCACCTGAGCTGAAAGTGCAGTGCCCGCTGCTGTAAAAACGGAACTCAACGGAAGAACTCGTGGATGGATGGTTCACTGGGTGGGCACCAGGCACTTTCACCAGTGATTGGAACTATATATACTGAAGCTGCTCATATAGCTGCTCATATATATTGTGAAGTCCGGCAACACAAATAAACTCACCGAGTTCTTTGAATCAATGCGTCTTTCTTTGTCGATGTTATTGGCACTGAATGTGTATGAATGTGTGATCTGTTTTGTCAATGTGATCCATTCATGATCTGTTTATATCTGGGCCACATAGATCGCATAGGCTCCATCCATGTCCGAATCGGAGGTGCCAGAGAAGGTGGCAGCCTGCCATGGTGCGATGTGAATTGCCACCGGTTTTGGCACGACATAGCTTGGTTCGTGTCGGGCGCGTAACCGGGCGATTGACACAGGCAAGTGCCAATTAATTGGTATGTGGTTTTTCGGACCCAAATTGGATCATTCCACAGAGATTCGTTCCGAATGACCAGCGGCGAAAGCGAGATCGACCCGTCCGCCGTCCGTGATCATCCATGGATATGCCATGGCTGCTTGTCCCCGACGCCCAAGATGCGAACGAGCGGCCGTTCCTCTTAGAGCTAAATGAGCTAACTGACGGCTATAGCTCGAAAAGCTGAGGAGTTGGTCTTTAAAAAATAGAACAATAACAACATCAAATTAGCCCAGCTGGAGACCCCAATAGCAAGATACAAACCGGGACAAAAAGAAAAATCTGGAAACAGCTGCTGTTTTCAACACATCGACCATCTCTTCCTTGGACACCATCATCACATAACCGGGACACCATCACAAAATGACCAGGGCACCATCAAAACATGACCGAGACACCGTCACAACATG